TTGTAACTTTGATTTAACCAAATACAGAGTTTTGATATTTATTTATTGATCTGGAACAAAATGAGAAAAATGTAACAATGTTTTTAAACTCTTGGGAGCTTAATAAGTTTCTCGTAAATATACAAGACTTTTTGGTATAAAAACACTGATTTTGAAAAAGTAGAGCTCAATAAACAAACAAACAAGAAAATAGATTTTTTTTTAAATGATGCTTTATAACCTTAAACAACTTTCATCACAATTACAGTTATTTTTTCTCCAACAATTTGCCAGTTTAGCTTTAATTCCTTATATTAAAACATGTATTGGAAACTGAAACAATTAATTGATTATGAATGGCAATGTTGATTATGAATAAATAAACAGCATATTAAGTTATCTCTACCTTTAGACATATATAGCTTATATTCTGACTGCCATTTAAATGTCAGGAAATTTTCACAGATCAGGTTATGTCAATATTATATAATTATACTGTATGTAAATAAAAATTGGGGGAAAAAAACAACAACAAAAACAAACAAACAAGAAAACAAAAACACAAATAGAAAATACAAATGGTAAAGGGCCATAATTCTGCTACAGATGATGTTTAAGTATGACAATAAGTACAAGGGCACTTAATTGGCAATCATTCTTTGAATGTTTGGTTGAGAAATGCAAAATAAATTGTTTGTGCTTGCACCTACCTGCCAACCACAAGTCACCAACTTTCTGTTGAAAACCTGGCTGACTAGCCTATTACACATAGCAACAATGATAAATATTTTTAGAGGATAACAATTTTGGGGTTACACTTCTTTGTGCCATTTCAATAGAGATTTTCCAAAATATTTTAAATAAATGATAATGTTCCCTATAAACAAACTAGTGTTGATGATAGTAACCATTTTTTCATAATCTGAAACATTTCAATAGAGCTATTTGTTGATAGGTGTACCCTTTAAATTATTGCAATAGTTATGATTAAAATGTTTTCCGTCACAGGTTGTAATTTGACAGATAAATTGTTGGTGCAATATGATTAGAAAAATCGTAACTTGTTTTTGAAACTGTTTAAACTTTGAATTAAGCTGTTATAGTGATAATAAAGATGAAAGGAATTTGAAGTAATAATTAAATAGGTACTTAAATACTGAAAATAATATTAGCATTTCTTTGTTTTCCGTTCTATTTTTGGGCGCTTTTATTTTACTTTATCAGTAAAACGTTCATAACTATCTGGAAGTATGTTATTACATGGTTTTGTAATCTCACGAATGTCATTATTTTCTTAAAATAAACTTTCTCAAATGGTTGCAGACAGTTACAATAGCATGTTAAGATAGCATTAATGTTTCATCTATGAGAGAGAGTGGAAAGGAAGAGTTTTCTCAACATGTTATGACCACACATTGTCTCCATCTTGAATCAAATATAACTTAATATTGAAGTGTACTTTATATTGGAAATTGAGGTCGTCAATGTAACTAGGATGTTACACAGGCTAGGGATGTCAAAGTGCCGTAGTGGTCCTTATGCGCGTTTGATTTTTCGCGATACTGATAAATAAATGAGAAATTTGTTCGTTGGGCCTGTCATATATGCATAGAAATGGAGTAAAAGTGATTATACTGGCTTTACTTATAGATTGTGATACTTCACTTAGAGAAGATGTTCTGTCTTGACAAATCATTGTATTAATAAGTTCACATAAGCTGATAAGCTTCATTTATGAAAATGGAATATTGATTCTTATGTTAAAACAAAAAAGAAAAAAAAGAAAAAAGAAAAGATAAAAATAGTGGGGAAAATCTATGCTGAGAAAAGATATTTGACTTGCAATCTCTCTGATACTGGTGACAGGAATCGTGAAATACTGCAAAATTTTACCCACTGCAGTGATTGGCTGTGATTAACTGTGATTGGAAATACAGTGGAAATTTCAAAATTAGACAGTTTTATGTGTTAATTGAATTCTCTTTTGTTTTAAATAATGAATGAAAGATAATGGCAGAAATTAATATATGAAGTGTTGTGATATAATGAATTTATTTCTTGACGTAATGTTGTTATAGGTTTTAATGTTTCAAGAATGCATTTCTGTGATTCATGAAATGTGAAGGATATTAGATAAATTGTTTCTTTGTTTTTTAAAGTTTTATGAATGCATGTTTAGGAATACATGTTGATCTCTTTTTGTAGACGGTAATAGTTACAAAACAAAACGCCTACACCATTTAAAATGAGGAAGGTGTGCTCCATGATGTTAGATATAGGAATGTTTAGTATATATTTTAGCTAACAGACAATTTTATGATGTAAGATTCAACAGTGCCTTACCAAAATGGTGATATGAAAATTTTCTAGAAATTTTGTTGTGACTTTCTTATATTTTTTGAAGTGTATGGAATAATTATACATTTACAAAATGACTAACGGAACAATTCCATCCGAGCTTGACCAAGTGCGTGGATTTATAGCCGATGCTACGAAAGAAGTAATTTTTTTTCTTCTTTATTTTGTACAAAATTTCATAACCAGATGACAATGCTGATATGTTAACTTATTTATCAATATAGAGATCAAAATTATGTATGATTAAGTTGTTTATTTATCCACCTCTCCCAAAATAGAGGAGGGATATGATTTTGGGAAGTGTCTGTCTGTTTGTGGCTGTTAGTCCATCTTTATGGAGCTAGAACTCAAAATTGGTTTTGAACTTTTTTAAATAACATTTTGTTAAGTGAAAAAAGAATGTAGTTTACACATTGCAAACAGCATTTACAATCCACATAAAATTACCAAAAATAGATAAAAAAATATGCAAAAATAGCTCTAATACTGGGTTTCATAATGTCACACAATAGAAATAAGGTAATAAATACTGAAAAATCAGACATTAATAGCGTAAAACATGAAAATTATATTACTTGAATCTTGAATATTTTTACTTTCATAAAATCTTAGTACTTTATTCTCAAGTTTAATTTTTTTAAAACATTTTTTGCATGCAGCTTTAACAGTAAACGGAACTAATTGAGAACAACATACTTCATTTCATAACAAAAGATAATATACAACAAAATAATTACTCCTTACTGTCCATTTAAGGCGTAGATCTGTATGTCAATCAGTCCTGAATAACAAGATTCTGTCAAAAGGTAGTTGAATATTTTCAGGAAGCTTGTAAAATTGATAGATCGCAATATGGAGATCATGCAAATCATTTTATTTTATTCCAATGTTGAGAAATTTGTTTGCTATGACAAAAATGATGATAAATTATGTAACTTCTGAGGCCTTTACACTACATGTTTTGATACTCGAAAGTCCAATTCACATGTTATATCCCATACTCTGACTTTGCTCTGACAAAATTATCCCCCTTTTTCATATATAAATCTAATTCTAGATCATATAGATACATTGAATGAGACTTCATAACTCTTTCTGTTATATTGACAAAATTGTGCCCTTTTTTACTTTAATAGAAAATAAATGTAGCAAATAATTTATTTTCTTCAATGTTTCTAAACATAACCTATACAACTTTAGTCAAGTCTTACAGATCACACAGCAAGGTGCATTTTTAGCTCACCTGAGCACAACGTAAAATTGACCTTTGATATCAACTGACCTAGATATTAACCAAATGACCTACTTTCTTGTTTTTTGATGTAGAGCTTTGAAATGGACCATATGCTCAGTTTTAAAACTAGATGTTTTGCTATTAGCTGACCTAGATTTTGACATAGTGACCTACTTTCTTGCTTTTTGTGTCGCCTCTACGGAGTAGTGGAGACATATAGGGATCACTTCTCCGTCGTCTGTTTGTCCGTCCATCCGTCTGTCTGTCCGTCCGTCTGTCTGTCACAAAACTTGTCCGGACTACTCTTCATAAACTACTGGTGCAATTTCATCCAAACTTAACAGGAATGATCAGTACCAAGTCTAGTTGTGTATATTGTCAGCATTTTCCGGTTCAATGATTTTTGTCAGAGTTATGGCCCTTTAATAATTTTTATTTTTAAAGTTTGTCCGGACTACTTCTCTTATACCACTAATGCAATTTCAATGAAACTTTACAGGATTGATCTGTAGCTCAAGTCCTTGAGCATATTGCACAGGTTTTCCGGTTGAATGATTTTTGGCCGAGTTATGGCCCTTTGATTAAAAGGTGTTTTTTTCTGTTAGTTGCCAGATACACAAAAGCTTGTCCGGACTACTCCTCATAAACTACTGGTGCAATTTCATCCAAACTTTACAGGAATGATCAGTACCAAGTCTAGTTGTGCATATTGTCAGCATTTTCCGGTTCAATGATTTTTGACAGAGTTATGGCCCTTTAATAATTTTTATTTTTAAAGTTTGTCCAGACTACTTCTCTTATACCACTAATGCAATTTCAATGAAACTTTACAGGATTAATCTGTAGCTCAAGTCCTTGCGCATATTGCACGGGTTTTCCGGTTGAATGATTTTTAGCTGAGTTATGGCCCTTTGATAAAAAGGTGTTTTTTCTGTTAGTTGCCAGATACACAAAAGCTTGTCTGGACTACTCCTCATTAAACTACTGCATCAGGATTAATCTGTAGCTCAAGTTTTTGCAATTGCCGGGTTTCGGGGTTGAATTTTGATTTTTAGTGAGTTAGGCCCTTTGATAAAAAGGTGTTTTTTCTGTTATTTTCCCAATAACAAAAGCTTGTCCGGATACTCCCATAAAAAATGGTTGCAATTTTATCCAAACTTTACAAAAGGTGTCCATACCAAATAAGTTGTGCACTGTCCTCTGTTTTTGTTGTCCAACTGAAATTGGCCATCATGAGGCCGAAAACATTGGTAACTGTCGCTCCCTTGTTTATAAAAGTACTTGAATTTTTTTTCACAAATTGAATTCATGTTTAACAAAATTTGAGTTTATATGATTATATGTTTAAATATGTTTAATACATCTATTTCCAAGGTAGGAATTTAGATAAAAAAAATGTATGCTAAATGTTTGTATTTATTTTTTTCAGTCGTTGGAGAGTACTCGGCGGATGATGTCACTATGTGAGGAGGTATGTAGCACCTAGTTGTAATAATCATTTTTATAACATTAAAAATTCATTGTTCTGTCCAATCTTTGGACACACCCCCACCCACCAAAAAAAACAACAATAATGATTTATGATTAATGTTAAGTACTTGGAAAAAAATTTATTTTTTAATTAGATAAATAACAATTCTGAGCTTTTGAAAGGTTAAAAGCATCACAGTTTTTTTACTGTCCATTGAAATAATATTTTGAATATCCTTTGTTATGTTTTAGTAATCCTTTGTCCTATATCTGTATAAATGAGTACATTAACAGGAATAATTTATGAGCCTCACCCAGGTTGGTTAATTTTGTACCCATGGCAGATGTGTTTTACACCTGACAATTTTGCTGATGAGGGCATGTTTAAGGCCAATCGATGTCTGTTGCTGTGGCAGTAGCTAAAAACAATGTAGTACTGAATCAAGAAATACCTTAAAGAAATAATATTATCAACCATTATATGACCGAAATACATGTACTTCTAAAACTGACCTTTAACCCCATTAAAGATAAAAATATGGTTAAATTATTGTTTCAAGAATCATTGCTGGACACTGAAAATGTAAGATTCAACATTTGAGCCGCGTCACAACAAAACCAACATAGTGCGTTTGCGACAAGCATGGATCTAGACCAGCCTGATGCGGATGCGCAGGCTGGTCTGGATCCATGCTGGTCGCAAACCCATTATGTTGGTTTTGTCATGACGCGGCTCTTATATAGAACATGTTATGTTTTTATTGCACCTTGAAAGTCTTGACATCCAGGAATGTTTCAGACGGCCATATTAAAAGCTATACAATTAACCCCTCTTCTCATTATTACAAAGATAGATAAAATGTTGAAAAGGTCATGCAAGATCATGTCTTTCTAATTGATTCATTTCGGGAGATCAATTTACGGAACTTGCAGCAGATTATTGCCGTTTGAGTAAAAGACTTATTTCGTATATTAGCCGTTGCTAGTTTAAAGACTGTTTAATTTCGGGGAAAGTTGATGCATTAATTGGTAGTCTTCTGTAGACACATCATATTAGATGAAAGGGCAGGTAATTAGAAAAGCAGCATTTTGCTGTCTGATTAGAATTAATAGGACAAAAATCAATGTTTTCGCACCGATAAAACGGCAGATGAGGCTGCAACTTTTATACCTTGCACAAGAATATGAGAAATTAGAGAGTAGAATGAAATCAACTTGTTAGTTACTGACTAAAAGACATTGAAAGTCTTAAATGCAAAATGACATTATCGAAATTTCTGATTTTATATGAAATAGAACCATTTTGCGACCTATCCTATAGGGAGATATTTCTGAGAATAACATAATTAAATGTAAATAAAACATGCAGACATTGTCTGCAAGGAGTATGATTTATCACATAAAACAAAACCTTGTGAAATCTCAACATCTTAAATCTCATACTCATATTGTGAAAATGTTTTCCGAAGAAATGTTTCCTGAAGAGAATTATAAAAACTAATGTATAAAACTATTGTCATCATGCAGCAATAACAAGATGTTTGTTAATCCTGTGTTTGTGAAAATGCCTGACTTCTTGCAAGGTTAGCTAGTAGATTGTGCTAAGGACTAGGCTCCCATTGTCCAGTGGTTAAGAGCGTTGACTTCAAACTACTTGTTGGTCAGTGTTATTGGTTAAGATCCTGTCAGGAATTATTTATTGTGAGGAAGCGCACAACTAGTATACTAAATTTTGGTGATTCTCCTCAAGTGCCCATCTGTGCTATTGAGAGTCAATGTGATGCAACAAAAATGAAACAGAATTAAGATTGAGATAAATTTCTAATCATTTCACGATTCTTCCATTCTTTTTCTAGCAAAATTAATCTTTGATTAAGATTAAGATTTGCTTACTTCACTACCTTTGGCACGAAAGTTTGCTCTGCAAAATATTTGAAGTTATGATATTATTTAATAATTTACATACAGAGGACATTTTACTTTTACAAAAATAAAATAGCAACTCATGTTGAGTGGTTTCCAGTAAAGAAAGGAATTGGTTGAAATAACAAAAACGTTTTGGAACTTGGCTCAGCTGCCAGTGTATATATTTGCAAATTCATAATATAAGTTAAACATTAGCATCATTTCAAGGTCACTCAATTTATTCAGATATTGCACAAAGGTCAATCTCACTCAAGGTCAAGGTCATGTACATGTACTATTATAACTGTAATGCAAAAGAGTCGGTGAAATTACCAGTTGGGAAAATAATATCATGATATTTGCACTTAAAGTTATTTGATTATTTTTCCAAGTTGTAATGCATTCATCTATTTAAGGTGGTCTGTATCCTAATTTTACTTGTTAAAATCAAGGATATATTAATTTGATGATTTGAAAGTAGAAATTTCCTGTACATGCTGGAAATATCAGTAACAACTTCCTTGCGCAATTTATTTCAATCCATTAACTGTCAATATGCTGTCACCTCATTATAAGCTAGTTGTGCAAGATATTTAAGAAGGTCACTTTGTTACATTATTTTAATTCTTAAATTAAGATATCTGAATGCCTAATGATCTATGCCTGTTACTGAATTCCAATTTGTTCACATCTAATTTCTAAAACCTGTTAGTAATTAAGCTTATGATCGATTTAAAACATGTTTTCCTTATTATCAATATCACTTAGACACCGAGGTTATGAATGTTTTAAACATTTCATAAGAATAAAATGTTGCAAAATTGATCGAACTGTTGATTTCCATTAGAAAGATATGATCATTGTACAAATGACCTATTAACCACCTAGCTTTCCATTCTGTTTGATTCAGAATTGTTCTGTGTTACAGAATTTATAACTGTAATAGCTCTTTGTGGAAGACAAGTTTTACAGGTTTGTCTAATTGGGCATGATTTAGATGATAAGACCTTTGCTTGAATCAATAAATATTTCCATAGTTTGAGACAGAACAAAAGACTGCTCCCATAGTTTTGGAGGGAATGAATCGTGGCTCCCATGGCTTGGGATAACACAAATGACTGCTCCCATAGTTTTAATTATATTATAATTGATATAGCACAACTGACAACTCCCATGGTTTTTGTTATGTCATGGCTTGGGATAGCACAAATGACTGCTCCCTGAACTAAGTCTGTTCCCATAGTTTGGGAGGGAACGAATCTTGGCTCCCATGGCTTGGAATAGCAAAAGTGACACTCCCTTAACTAAGTCTGTTCCCATAGTTTGGAGGGAATTATTGAATCGTAGCTCCCATGGCTTGGGATAGCAAAAGTGACACTCCCTTAACTAAGTCTGTTCCCATAGTTTGGAGGGAATGAATCGTAGCTCCCATGGCTTTGGATAGCACAAATGACTGGTCCCTGAACTTATGAACTTAGACTGTTCCCCTAGATTGAAAGACCCAACTCCTAGTTTGGAAGAAAAGGAATGATGGTAAATTAAATTATATTAGTCTGGAAAAGAAGACCATAACTATAACAAAGTTACAGTTTGAGATAGAACAAAAAACTGTATAGGTGATAGGACCATGAACAAACTGTTTCTAAGATGAGGCTAAAAAATTTGTATACATGTATTTATATGTTATATGTAATTTAGGATCATAATATTTTTATAATTTAGATACCTGATCTTATAAACATGTAATACATCTTCAAATAATTACTAGTTTATGGAAAATATTTTTGCTTTAATGATAAGGAACTATTTTATATGTCATTTAAATGTAGAGATATTTTGTATGTTAAGTAATAATGGTGATTAGTTATTGTCACCATGGAAACATTCATTATATTGATAATAGTATTTGTTTAATTTAGTTAAATCCATTGTGACATTTCAGACAGAGGTTTAGAATTATATATACATTATATTGGTTTATTTGTGCAAGAAAGATTAACATTGAGCCCACTGGTGACAACTGATTATGCCCATAACCAGTGCAGGCAAAGGTCCGTCAGCAATAATTCAAGTGCAGAGTTTTGTAAGACCTGGTTACATCAACACTTACATTATTCTTATATAAAACAGAAAGTAATTGAATAATTTTGATGTATTGCCTTCATTAAGGCCCTGTGGAAGACCAGAAGGTGTTTGATTAGTTACTTACCACTCTTTGGCCTACAGTCTTCAGATTTGGTGGGAGTGTTAGTAATTGCCAGAAGATGACCCAGTCTAAAGGTCACTCAATGGTCAAGGACTCTTTGGCCTAAAGTCTTCAGATTTGGTGGGAAGGTTTGTTATGGCCAGAAGATGACCTTCAATGATTATGAGGTCAAAAGGTCACTCAAAGGTCAAGGTCATTATGGTCAAGTTGTCTATAACCAACAAAAAGAAAATGTTTAATCATTAATTAGAGAAAACCTTGATCTACATACATCAGATTTGATGAAGAAGTTGCTCACACTCAGATTGAAAAATTGAGGTTAGTGGGTCAGAAGGGCATATTGTTCAGGTTACACTAAGACTTTGTAAACAGTCCATCTTAATAAAAATGACTAAATTGATAGATATTTAAGGGAGACATACAGGTTATTCACAATTTTAAGTTAATACCTTTGGCAGTGTTAGAAAGGCCATAACATGATTTTAAAAGCTGTGACCTTGTCAGAAATGTTGCAATGGAATAAGCTTACTTGCTCTTTAATACTCAAATTTAGAAGTTAACATATATGTATAGCATAATTTAATATAATATATTGATCTTGTTTGTGTCGCGACACACAGAGTAAAGAGTTAGCTATAAAGACTCTAGTCGACCTAGATGATCAGGGAGGTAAGCAACGGCGTTTTGTCGTTGTTTTTGTACCAGCCTTAGAAAATCCATGTCACTTTCTCGTACCCAAGTCAACTCTATTTCCTGATTTACCGTATATAAAAGTCTTCATTTATTTCAGTGTTGTTTGTATTTTTCTAAAAAAAAAAAAAATTCCTATTTTTTTTTCCCCCGAGTATTGTTACTGTGCATCCATTTTGATTTACATGTGTATTTATTTATATTTTGATATGTTAAAATGTTGATGAACAAAGCGGCAGATGGTGCAACTTGAAATTCTGATTGTTATATTTTGTACAATATTTCAGTATAATATAATTATTGTTTCTCAGCAAATATAGCAATATAGCAGCTTATTGTTTTTGAGAAATTTTGAACAAAAACTCCCCAACTTTTTTTGCAATCTATTCTTTTTTCAAAATTTGTTTCTTTTATATTTAATGAACTTTAATTAGTTAAAATTGCACCTCTTTAATTTGTTTGTCATTAAATGCAACAACAAAAATCTAAAAGAAAATTCCAGAAGAAAAATGAACAAAAAAAATAAGAATGGGATAATGCCAGTTGGAAAATTTATAAAAAAGAACAAATGTTTTTATGAACTATGATTGTTATATTTCATAACTGAAAGCCATTCTTGAAGGATTGGTGTTATACTTTTGTAAAATTAAAAAAAAAATACTTAAGTTTTATATTTGTACCGAACTCAACATTTGCCTACCCCCGGTACTTAACTCAATTTTGGAAGAGCATTAAAACATAATCCAGTTGTCACTGTATGATCATAGTAGGTCACTGGGGAAATTTAAGGAACAACACCCCCCCCCCCCCCCTTACAAAAAAAAAAGAAAATTCTATCGACCAACAATATATTTAAAGACTTTTTTTAAGATCAATATAAATCCAATTTCTTTTCGTTTCTTATTTTTGATTTTTGTTAGTTGTTTTTTTTTTACATATTTTTTTTTGTAGCAAGTTTTTTGGAAAGTAATGTGGAAAGAGTTGACTGGTACGACATAAGTTGATAACGTCCCTAGAAAAAGCCTTATGTCTACACTAAATAAGCCCTTGTGTTATAAAAGCTGTAGATTTGCATTCTAGACCACAAGCAACATGCAAGCCTTGGTGTTTATTATACTGTACAAACACCATCATTAACTCTCTCCCTTTAAAGTTCATAATGCTTTCCTAAAGAAGAAAATGATTTTTGGTTTTTGTGATGGTTTTTCATTATAGTTTTCTATAAATCTCAACATGGTGTGTAAACATTCGGACAAATTAAGTTAAAGCCGAAAAACTGAAAAGAAAATTGAGATAATTGTGACAATAATTAGAGATTTTGCATGATGAAATTACCATCACACCTTCTAATTACCATAAAAAAAACATGAACATAACTGCATGAAAACATGGTTAAAGCTTGCATGTTGTTTGTGTGAATATTTTGTGAGTGTTGAAAGGCAGACTGCTGTATCTGATGTGATTTAGAGCTGTACTGTACTATGTATGGAATGGTAAACATATATATGTATATAACTCCGATTTTCAGCGTGACTTTTATTGCTAAAAGGTTACATATACTATAGCAAGATTGTTTTGTTTTTGGAAAAAATGACATGTTTTGTTTTTGAAAAAAATGACATGTTTTGTTTTTGAAAAAAATGACATTGTTTACTTAGGGATTCCCAGGAAGGCATATTAAAATGCATTTTAAAACAGCATCATAATTATAATATATTTACCTTTTTGAATAATTTTGGCACTGACTTAATAATATCTTCAGAATACAGCCAGACAGGTTATTATGATTTTTTTTTACCATTTGGATGCTGTTAATTAGAAGCAACTTGGTCCGTAAGTCAGAGCAGAACGATCGAGATCGAAGGAATTATATGAATTCAGCAAACCACTTCTTAATTTAAACATGAAAAACATAAATATGAAAAAAGTATGTAACCTATGATAGTAAAGGTCATGATGAAAGGGACTATATCTTAGTAAATATCTCATGCTTTCCTTGTTTGCTCTTGTTGACTATGGTAGGCAAAAGAAGCAGGAATCACAACTCTAGTTTTGTTAGATGAGCAGGGAGGTAAGGAGAACACACTTCCGTACGGCTTTAATAGCCTTCTGTGAAATTTACAATCACATTTTTTTATATATATACTATCTTGAGGCATGGCGGAATGAACATATACCCTAAACTTGTTTGTATGTAGAAATTTTCTTCATTGACTTGACCTATTTACGGCATGGTCAACGCCTGTGGTTTTAAAGACTTAAAGCCATATTGTAAGCTATGACTTGCCAGTAGAGTTACTTGGGCATTATTATAATGTTCACCTGTGTTTTCCAACCAGTTCCTGTATTGTTTACTGCCCAACATTTAGATAATTATAGAAATCCAGCAATTCAATTAAAATTGAAAAAGAACATATTAAGCACAGTGTATGAAGTGATATTTCCTAAACAAATATAATTATAGTCCTGTTTCTTAAACCTCAGATCACATTTATGATTTCAATTTCACTGTTCTTTTTTATACAATGTAAAGTACAATTTTAGATTATCATTTTTTATAAAGCCAGACTGGCTTATCTGTGCAGTCTAACCAGGCTTTATTAACTGTTGATAGCAAGTGATGTGTTGACTGGTGATTTGAGTGGGGTATATGTTGACACCAGAAACAACAGCTTTGTCTGTCATTAAGCCATGCCTCTAAGAAAATATTTTCATTTTTTTACATCATTACTTTAAATTGCCTGAATATTGTTGTCCTGATTGTCTTTTTTCTCTCTGCCTTCATGTTGTATGAGCATCGTACTGCAAGTAGTATTGTTGTTGTTGTTATTTATAGTGCTGTTGTCAAAGCAACATTGTTCACAGATAAAATGTATTGTGCACTTCTTGACGATTTTTAATCTGTTCATTTTTACACCTGTCACACTGTTATGCAAATTTATTTAACTTTGCGTGCATTATTTTGATAAATTCTTTTAAAAAAAGTAAATGCAATTTGCTGTTATTAGTTTAGCTGTAATGTGTAATTTAGAAACTTGTTTATTTAATATATTTCTCAGTACATTAACAGATTTTATGAAAGGTTTTTGCTATTGAACAAATATTGAGTATGTTGTTCATGAGAAAAGATCATCAACTTAAACTTAATTAATTACAAGTTACAAGTATTTAGATTATGTCTTTTTTCAAAGAAAATCAAACTGCTGTGCCATTAACAAGAATGAATTGTAAACTTTAGATTTAACATTATTTGATATCATTTGCATTATATATTCCCTGCAAAGTCTTGTTTGCTTGACTTGGCCTAGTTCAAAGACACTTGTTTTATAGCTTTTGAACTTGCTCCCCAGGTCGTGAGTTTTTAGTCACTCATTAAATTTTGTAAAGAGTTCAGCCTTAAAACATCTTCTCAAAACATCTCATTTTGCATTTTTATAAAGCATGATCTGTCTTTAGATCTGCACTAAAAACTGTTTAAGTTCGGTTTTTTGGTACGTTTTAAGAGCTTAAGTACATTATATATTTACTTTAGGAACCAAACAAATCTATTCTGGGGCATATTATGTCCTTGGATACTCATATAAATTTGCACAAACAAATATTGTCATGCAGTCCTTTTAATTCTATCATTAATTTTGATGAGTGATAATGAACCTTAATGGCACTCTTGTTTTGAAAATTTGATATTTTGTTTTTCAGTGCTTTTATCACCAGTCTTTCTGTTTTCTTTGTAGGCTAGAATTTCTGTTGGTCTCAAGATTTTGTTTGATTAATGGTTAACTGCTGAAGAGGATTGCAGTGGATTGCCATAAAATCATGATTAATTGAGCACCATCCAACTTGTTGACAGCCACAGTTTCACTGTTTATTCTTAATATGATTATCTTATTTCAGAAATGTACAGTTTATTTTCTTGTAGACTTGTTTTTGTGAGGTTGTTGTACTGTGTTGTAGCATGTATTATTCATATTGTGTTACCTCCCTTGATTTCAGAGCCAGGACGTCGGTATAAAGACCTTGGTTATGTTGGATGAACAAGGCGGTAAGATTAGGGAATGGTGTTAAAGAACTAATATGTTAACATGGGGTTTATTGTTAGATTGTTTATGGTTTGCTGTGAGAACATGCAATTTTTATATAATCTTAAGTGACTTTTAAGAACAGATTTTCTGCTAAACGATTGCCTAAAGTGATGTCTAGAATAGATGCACTTAATCTAAACTAATGCAGCTGAAAAATGTGAAGGTCATCTCAATGATACAGTTACCTTAATCACTTCAATTTCTTTTAAAATGTAAGCAGAAATGTTACAGTCTTTACTTGTAGAAGAGATAGTAAATTATAAAAATAAAGGGTCAAGGTCAATCATACATACAATAATAAATGGTATTGTTAAAGGTTGAACATCTAAAGAAGTTTTTATTTAATCTAACAATGACAGTCCTTGTTGGAAAAGGTCTCAGTCTGTGTAATATGACTTAGGTCAAGGTCAGTGTTACAGTTATTATCTTTATTATAAAAAGTCATTGCTACCATGATGAATATTCTGAACTGATCAATGTCATTATGAAAGTTACAAAGATTATTATTATTAAAGGTCAAGGTAAATGGGACAATTTTTATCTGCAATGGTTCAAGATTAGTGTGAAAATCTTTACTGTAAAAAGTTGATGTTAACCTAAAATCTTGATCTTTACTGTCAATATTCAAGGTCAGTATGAAATTGATAATCCTTATTGCAGAATGGAAGGCCAAGGTCATTGTTAGAATTATAGTCCTTACTGTATGATTCAAGGCCAAAGTATTAGGGAAATGATTACCCTTATAAAAAAGTCAAGGTCATGTGAGACAAAGATTATTCTTATTGTGGAAGGTCAAGGTCATTGTGAAAATGATTAACCTTATTGTCGAAGGCCAAGATCAGTGTGAGAATGATACATTTTATTGTAGAAGGCCAAGGTCATTGTAAAAATGATAATTAATCCTTATTGTTGAAGGCCAAGGTCAGTGTGAAAATGATAATTCTTATTATTGAAATCTATGGTCATTGTGAAAATGATAATTAATCCTTATTGTTGAAGGCCAAGGTCAGTGTGAAAATGATAAATTTTATTGTAGAAGGCAAAGGTCATTTTGAAAATGATAATTCTTATTATTGAAATCTATGGTCATTATGAAAATGATATATCTTATTTTAGAAGGTCAAGGTCATTGTGTGAATAATAAATTATATTGTAGAAGGCCAAGGTCATTGTGAGAATGATAAATCTTATTTCAGATGGCCAAGATCATAGTAGCTGTAAATGTTTTGTTAGGGTTCTGTTATGATGTGTTACATCATTTTAAATGCAAAGCCTCATTTGAAAAGGTCATGGTCAAAGTGATTAAATACTTTTCTTAAGTTGTTATGAAACATAAAATGATTGCATACAATAATTATTTTTTTTAAAGAAGTAGCATAGCATTTTATTATAAAATCATTAAGTCAAAGCTCAATGCTATAACTTTGTCAAAGCTTATTAACCTTCTCCATTTTACTGACATTTAGAGCTAGCTATATTGATAAATAACATACCCTTATTATCATTTGTAACCCAAACTGCATGACTTTCAATCTAAATTATTCAATTTCTTGCTCTCCTATGACAGGAAATTAATTCCTTTTTTGAATTTTTAAATGTATTAATTTCTTAACCTGAACCTTCTTTCCTTGTACAGTAATTTATGATCTCTTAACAACAAGGTTTCTCTCAGCTAATGGTAAAAAATAGCTTACTAAAATATTAAGTCTTAATGTACTTAAATGTACTGCAATCTCAAAAACAAAACAAAAATTAATTCATTAGATTTCTGTCAAAATGTATTTGTTACAGGATACTAGCTGTTTACATGCACTATGTATACAGCCCTTGCAACATTTACACAATATCTGTAACAAAATCTTTTTACCAGAAACCTACTTCTGTGTTATTCATGAATTAGTTTTTTTGTTGCATCGGCTGATTTTTCATAGCATTCCTCATTCAAGCACAGCATTCAAGCAATTGGAAAATACATAAATGTCTCTTATTGTGTCACGGCAAATGACTTAAATCATCAGTAGATTACTAAATGTTTGTAGCCTGCGAGAATTAATCTTTTATCGAAAGACACAATCATTTCATGTCCATACTTTATTAGGTGTGCTGTCTACAAAAAAAACACTACAGTCTCTACATATCTGTTTTATTTTTCCTTTCATTGATTTTATTTTCTTAAACCGTCATCCTGCTGGAATCAGAAGTGGTTTAAGCCTTTGCCATCAGTACAGAGCCAGGTCAGCCTGCACATAGATCCGTGCAGTCTGACTAGACTCCAGACTGTTGGCAAAGGCCAACTCTAAATTTTCAATTTAATTTACCCCCCAAAATTAATAATGTACATTTCCAAAATTGGAAGCTGGACAAGTCCATTTTAGAAATTCAGAAGGTTAAGGGTTCAAGTTTATAAGGTCTTCATTAACAAGCAGTCCTGTATAAAGTGAAAAAAAGATAAGAGACAAAATTACTCCTATTTTCTTAGAACTAGTTTATTTTTCCAGGAAATTTAATTTCTGGTATCAAAGTTAGAAATCATGCAATCTTCCATTAAATTTTGAAGGAAAAAAATCTCAGTTCCTCTTCAAAAGAAACAGGGTCAGCATGTCAACTTTTCCTTTTAAGAAAGAAAATGCAGTATAATTTCAAACATGCTATTTAAAGCCTTTTTCTGAAAAGAAATGTTTTGGTTTGCTGCTGTTTAAAGAATTATTCTAAAGAACTATTATTAAATTTTTCCTTCTGTAGAAATACTGTTAAATTAATGCACTTTATAGTACAAATGTACCTGATATAAGAGAATTATATAACCTTACCCATATATTTATTATGAATATTAAATCAGTCATTGTGACCTTTTTCAGTTGATATGTTGCAATATGCAGCTTGTTTAAATTAATTTCTAAATATAACTTGAATGACAATAATGACTTGTTTAAGCCACCAGTTTACCATTTGAGCTGCGTCACGACAAAACCAACATAGTGAGTTTGCGACCAGCATGGATCCAGACCAGCCTGCGCATCCACGCAGTCTGATCAGGATCCATGCTGTTCGCTTACCAACTCTATTACAAGTAGAGAAACTAATAGAGCGAACAGCATGGATCCTGATCAGACTGCGCGGATGTGCAGGCTGGTCTGGATCCATGCTGGTCGCAAACGCATTATGTTGGTTTTGTCAAGACGCGGCTCATTTATTCTTAATCTTTGATATTTTGTATTAAATTTTCAAACTCATAATAAACTGTTTCAAATATAAAATAGCAGGAGAAGTAAATTTTATAATATCAGCTGGGTTATTATTAACTGAAGGTACAACATCCACTAATTGCTTGTGTAAAAACACCATCTTCCTTAGCTCATCAAAATTAATGGTGTATTTTTGTTTTATCTGGTTATATTATGTTCATGTCCTTGATCCAGCAAGTGGACAGTGGCAAATTTGTACAGCCCTCACAGTGATGGATGTTTCACCTTCAATTAATATTATATATTGTGAATTATGTAAGAAGACATCTTCTGTAAACAGTTTTATGATACAGATTATTTCTGTAGAATGAAACTGATGTTTGTAGAAATTAACTAAATTGTTTTGGATATTTTAGAGCAATTGGATCGTATTGAAGAAGGCATGGATCAAATTAACACGGACATGAAAGATGCAGAAAAAAATCTCGAAGGCATGGAGAAATGCTGTGGTTTATGTGTTCTACCATGGAAAAGGTAACATGCCATGGAATTTTACATTCGCAATTTTTCTCTGAGAGAGGCATTTGCTAAGAGAGGCATTTGTAAAGGCCTATGTCACCTGTCATTTAAACATCAAATGTTTAAAGAACTGGCTTTGACAATTCATGTTTTATACTTACTAGTATTGTTGTAAAGTTAGCTCTAACAATGAAAATATGCTGTGTTTAGTACTGATATTTCTACTAGGCAGTGAAGGGATATCATGACCCCTCACATCACTAAATATTTTATATAGATGTCCATTTCTGGACAAAGTATTCATACCTTCAGGGAAAGAGATGTCCATTTCTGGACAAACTATTCATACTTTCAGGGAATATTTTCAAAATATTTATTGACTGAATATTGAACAGTATAAACCATGATCAGATGACACAAATGTGTCTTAAGATCTTGGTCTGCACTGGTCGCAAAGATAGTCTCACTTGTGGCTAACAGGCAAAGAGTTAAAGTAGAATCAATCTTCTCTTAATGCTTTCCTGATGTTACAGGTTAAGCCCGTCTCACACAAAACACGGTTGCGCACACGATTCCCATACGGTATACTCGGTTATACACGGGTTGACTGGTACGAGTTTGAGCTCCAACCGTGCTTGTGGTCTAGTTGGCACGAATTAGACTCGAATATAGCACGAGTATGTACGAATTGAGCACGGATATACTCGGTCAAGCAAGGTTTGAACACGATTTGGATACGAATACATACGACTGTTGTACGGTTCCAAGTACGGTCTAGTACGGTCTGGTACGATTAAACACGACTTTTACTCGATTTACTCGACTTTCACAGGGTTTACATAGGGACCCGCCGTTTTTTGTTCGAGTTAGGCTCGAAATATCACACATTTGTGTATGTTTTGATATTAATTAACCCATTTTGATGACTTAGCTTCATTAAATTTCGAAATTTCAACGAAGAACACTTATATATAGATCATTATAATACTGCACGTTTGTAACGTCGCTTTTCATTGGATATGACATACCACTCCAACTTATTGACCCAACTTATTGACCCTGATAAGCTAGAGGCCCAACCGGCAATAACCGTGTCTCCCAGGGATTCAGACTCCAGTGCCAGCTCGGTGGACTAATATTAACATCAATAAATGAATAAAAAGTGAAGCAAAGTAAAATGAATGTGTCTTTTTTTCTGTTGTGTAGCGGTTGCTTGAGGGTCCACCGAGCTGGCATTGGAGTCTGAATCCCTGGGAGACACGGTTATTGCCGGTTGGTCCTCTAGCTTATCAGGGTCAATAAGTTGGAGTGGTCGGCGGGCCTGGATGGCTCTTCTTGTATTCCTTCTATGCGTCCAAAACTTCTTCTTTGGATACATTCTAGTGTGATGCAGCAAGCACTCTTGGTAGGGTGGCAGCAAGTAGTTGTGTTTTTTTGTACAGTTCTTGCTGACGTAGAGGCCGTGTTAGACCGTACGAGGCCGTGTGAGACCCTATATACCCGTACTTCACCGTGTCGGCCATGTATGTTTCGTATATGAACCGTATTGGTCGTATGGCGATCGTATGAAACCGTGTGTGCACTCGTTTGAATCGTACCGTGATCTTGTGACATTCGGGTGTTAATCGGGTGTTGGATGTAGGACTTGGGGACGGTCTCGAACGATTCCATACGATTTATATACGACCTTGATACGGTTTAGCTCACTCGTGGAGTGAACTTCACATACGGCTGTATATACGGTCTCATACGGTCTCACGGTCTCTTACGGTCGTGTACGGTCGCTTATACGGTCATACACGGACATGGCATCCGTACCAGTTTTTTAAAAGTTTTAAAAATCATACACGGCTTACACGGATACACTCAAATGGCCCGAGTGTAACTCGGATAACGCTACAGTTAGTTCGGTTGTATGTACGGTTTACACGGGTGGCCAACCGTGTAAGCCGTGTGTCCTGTGTGAGATGGGCTTTAAGAGATGTTTCAATTTTAGGACCAATACTGTAGTATTTTGTGCAAGGCCAGATACAAAATTAATGATATAATACATTGTTTTCACCCAATAAAACAAACATTTCTTGTTTCAGCACATACATATAAACTGAGTGAGCCTTTTAATAATGATCATCTAATAAACATTTTTACCATGTAAAAATTGTTATTGACCTTAGATTGTTGCTTTGGTTTACAAGAAATCACAATTATTATAAGATTTATGACAGGTGGGTATAGACCCTATTATCAAGGAATATATGAAAAATGCTTTCTAAATTCCTAGTTCAATCATGGTAAATGTCATTCCTTTATGAATGTCATGAAAAAGATGGAAAAAAATAAATCAGTTGAATTTTAATTTAAGTTGACATTTTGTGACAACAGCAACAATTGTATTGAATTTTCTCATACTGACCTTTAATTGTATCTTGGTTTTTGCTAATGACTAATATATTTGCAGAGTAATTTGAATATTCTTGTATATTGGTAACAACATTATAATGGGGGACTCCTCTGAATTATTCATAGAAACTCTATGCCCTGCATTGATTCAAAAACAAATATTAATTTGGTTACAATATTTGCTTTGGATGATGCAGGGAAAAAAATTATCATATTTAAAGAATACAAGTGATATCTGCCTTGTATTTGCTTTGTAAAATTTACCAGAAAATGAAATCTAAGAATAGATTTGATTTTAATATTTTTTGGCTTATGAATGTATTGGCTTGTAAAATTATTAGATTTATATTGATTAAATGCCTTATAAATTTTGTAATGGTATAGTTTCATTTTTTGGCAAGGCAGACACGATCTTATAAAAAATATGAAAAGAAATTTAAAGTATAATAAAAAATGGATTATTTTGCATGACTTAAAATGAGTCAGTTAGAACATATGGGTTAATAATATTCAAGTTCAGTACTTTATGCAAGACGAGATGGAATTGTTTTCTTTTCAATTATTGTAAGAGATCAATTTAATGGATTCTTCATGGCTATTACAAGATCCCTGAGTCTGAATCATGTGCCTCACTTCCTTTGCTTGACTCCTGTGAAGGACGCAATTTTTTTTAATGATAAGATGCCCGATTTAACCAGGGACTTTAGATTCTTGCCTTTGAGGAAGATATTCAGCTAGCTTATAGAACATCGTTGATTTTACTCTGGTGCCTGTTTGTGCCAGAAAAAATGCACAGAAGGGCACCTTAGGTCTTTTCCCCAGTAAAGCTGGTAAGTCGCCATATTATGATCTATACTATGTTGGTGCAACATAAAACTCAACAAAAAAACAAATGGGGTATTGAACTAACTGTAGAGGTCTTATTGACCAACTCCAGTACACACTTCTGCCGGCATGGTTGAACATATTGACATCTTATTCTCTCTGCCACAAGTAAAGATAGAAAAAGTGCATTTTAACTTAAGAATTATGAACAAAAGGTACAATGTGATTATTTTAAAATTCAAAGAGGATTGTTAAGGTTTTGATAATTATGTGATTCGTTGTATATCATGTTAGAATTCCCTTACAGAGCCAAAAAGTTTGATGATAAAGGTACATGGAAGGCAAATGAAGATGGAACGGTAAACACAGATGGCCCGCGTGTAATGGTTGGCGGAGAAGCCATAATGTCAGGGGCGTTTGTAACAAAGTATGTCATACACATGACGGGGAGAACACGCATGTGTCACAAGTGTCATATTTCACTGTTATTGTACTTTTATATTTTTCTTGTTTTCTTTGTTTGTATTCTTTTATTTTTTTAATTCTTTATTTGGCTTTTTTATGTTTTTGAGCATGGTTTTTCAGATCTAAGAATTTTGAGAAGAGCAGTGACTACAACAAAACTTGGAAATCCTCCGAGGATGGTACGGTAAACACTAATGGTCCTAGGGTGATTGTAGATCAAGGAAATGGAGTTGGTTCTTCAGGGGGCTTCATAACTAAGTATGTTTATAGGCAATATCCTACTATCAGAATTACATCATATTACCGGCACCATTTCCCACACTAAAAAAAATTCTCATCCCTTTCATTTCCGTCATTTTTTGGTTAAGATAAACTCATATGGTTGATTAACTTGTCTACACTATATCAGAAAGGTCTCGTGTGTGGTATCAATAGAAGTGGACAAAATGGTCAGTAAATGTGCAGAAATCCTAAAATGTCTCGATAGAATCTAAAAGATATGTGAATTGAATGTCTTTAACAAGTCGAAAAAAGAATTGTCTGGGAATTCTATCATATTTGAGACATATTATGAGCACAGAAAATCAGAAGCACTTTCTATTCCATATTCCTTGGTGTATTGCCAATAACTTGCTTTATATAATGTAGGCAAGTAGAGTATTAAGAGATCTATCAGTCTCAATAAGGGTTAATATAAACATATAATTTGGACACATCAATAATAAAAGTGGTATAGTTAGTAGAGGATTTTAGGGGCATTTATCTCAAGTATTAAGCCTGCTTTATTTAGGTGTCATCAAGAATTCCTTGCCTTTAAAGTATTTCCATCAATATTTCCTTTCCTACAAAAATCTAAAATGAAAATAGAAAACAACCAAAAACATAAGGGTTTGACTGGCTCCAGCCCCAGACATTTTAGAATCTTATGTTTTTTTGTCATTATAGTAAACACAATATAAATAATTAAAATAATCAGGCCCTTTCATTCTTTATCCTGATCAACTTTTAATTTTCATTTGATATCCAAAATATCAATAATGGACATTGCTCGAAATTCATTTAACTAAATTAAGTTATTCCATTTTAAATCTGCACATTTTTGTACCTATGGTACTTTATAAAATCATATTTTTTCAAAGAAACGTTTATTAGCTCGACTATTCGATAAGAATAAGTAGAGCTATTGCAGTCACCCGAGCGTCGGCGTCGGCGTAACCACTTATGTTAAAGTTTTTGTAATAGTTCAAATATTTTCAAAGTCCATAGACATATGGCTTTGAAACTTTGCACACTTGTTCACCATCATGACCCCAACCTGTAGACAGGAGGAGGTAACTCTATCAAGCATTTTGACAGAATTATGCCCCTTTTTCGACTTAGAATTTATGTTAAAGTTTTTGTAATAGTTCAAATATTTTCAAAGTCCATTGACATATGGCTTTGAAACTTTGCATACTTGTTCAACATCATGACCCCAACCTGTAAACAGGAGGAGGTAACTCTATCAAGCATTTTGACAGAATTATGCCCCTTTTTCGACTTAGAATTTACGTTAAAGTTTTTGTAATAGTTCAAATATTTTCAAAGTCCATTGACATATGGCTTTGAAACTTTGCACACTTGTTCACCATCATGACCCCAACCTGGAAACAGGAGGAGGTAACTCTATCAAGCATTTTGACAGAATTATGCCCCTTTTTTGACTTAGAATTTACATTAAAGTTTTTGTAATAGTTCAAATATTTTCAAAGTCCATTGACATATGGCTTTGAAACTTTGCACACTTGTTCACCATCATGACCCCAACCTGTAAACAGGAGGAGGTAACTCTATCAAGCATTTTGACAGAATTATGCCCCTTTTTCGACTTGGAATTTACGTTAAAGTTTTTGTAATAGTTCAAATATTTTCAAAGTCCATTGACATATGGCTTTGAAACTTTGCACACTTGTTCACCATCATGACCCCAACCTGTAAACAGGAGGAGGCAACTCTATCAAGCATTCTTTTTACTATCAAGCACTAAGAATAGTCGAGCGTTGCTGTCCTACCGACAGCTCTTGTTTTTGGACTACCGAACGATTTTATTAGCAGAAATGATAACATTGAATGAGATAATACGTATTATCTGACCAAAGTTGGCAGAGTGCTATATAAATGTCCAGTTATTGACCAACAGCTGAGAGACTTTGGCAGAGAGAAAGCGTTTATTGTTATGGCCAGAAAACATAAAAATCATTTATAGAAAGGGACACTTTTGAGAGAATACAGAATATCTTTCCTGTCTAGACTTCAAATCATCCTATAATTGTCCAGCTCTCTAATCTAGTCACACTCGGAGAAAGAAAAAAAAAGAGAAATTGTATTGAAATGCTTTCCAGGAATGTTCTCTTAGATTGGCTGCACTCTACCGTTACTTATTTGACAGTGTTATTTGAATGCATTTATACTTTATATATAGGCAATGTGAGAATAGGGTTATTAATGATGGTCTATACATAGAAATTTAACGTTTCATTTTGAAAACAACGAAAGTTGATACAGTGGCTTTTTGTGATTATTTTAAGATTAACTGTAGGCAGGATACTGTTTCTATATGAAATACCACTGTTAATAAATTGCTAGCTAATTGACAAAACTTTTCTCATTAGAAACTGGTGTCATCTTAACTAGACACAACGTTAAACCTTGCTAGTCACACAAAAGCTGCCTGATTAAAACAATTTAGGAACTTGAGATGAATAATTAGTTATTTTTGCTCCAAACACCGCTTTACGTAAGCATAATCATCACCGTGCAGGGGAAAGGATATTGATTACCATTTATTAAGTTTATAACATTTTATATTACGCAGTTTAGCAGACACTCATGATCAAGGTAGACCCGGAAAAAAAGTGTTTTACTCCTTTTCATAGATGTTACTGTTTCATTTTTTGTGTCATTTTTACATTTGTTACACGTTTTTGTGATTTTTAGCACAATTTTTTTTTCTTAGTATTTATTAAATTTTGAAGTTTTGATAAATGTTTATTCTGTTTCAGACGTTTATGTGTTTGAATGATCATAATATGTAAAAATCTGTCAATAGATTTATTTAAATCATTTGTTATATCCAGAGATTGATTTAAATCACTTGTAAATAGCATTCATTATACCAACAGATTGATTAAAGTTCTTTAATTATGTATTATACCAATTAATTCAATTGATTAATGTTACCAATACAGTTATTCAGATCATTTATACAAATGATTTGTTATTGTATACCAAAAGGTGGATTCAAATGATTTATTATATCAATAAATTACTTCAAATGCTTTCTGATACCAGTATCAGTAAATTAATTCAGATGCTTCATAAATTACTGAAAGATTCATTTAATGATCTGTAATACCAAAATAATAGATTCATTTGATTTACTATACCAATAGATTGCTTACAAAACCATTATTTTGACTCAGATTACTTTTTAGACCAATAGATTAATTCAAATGATTTATCAAACAAATACCAGTTGATTGCTAATACTGATAGATCAATTGAAAATATTTGCAATGCCAAAAAGATAGATCAATTTTAAAGATTTGCAATACCAAATAGATAGATCAATTTTAAAGATTTGCAATACCAAATAGATACATTAATTTATATGATTTGCAGTACCAAATAGATAAATCAATTTAAACGATTTGCAATGCCAAAAAGATAGATCAATTTTAAAGATTTGCAATACCAAATAGATAGATCAATTTTAAAGATTTGCAATACCAAATAGATAGATTAATTTATATGATTTGCAGTACCAAATAGATAAATCAATTTAAATGATATGCAATGCCAAATAAATAGATCAATTTTAAAGATTTGCAATACCAAATAGATGATCAATTTAAAAGATTTGCAGTACCAAATAGATAGATCAGTTTAAATGATTTGCAATACCAAAAAGATAGATCAATTTAAAAGATTTGCAATACCAAATAGATAGATTAATTTAAATTATTTGCAATACCAAATCAATAGATCAATTTAAAAGATTTGCAATACCAAATAGATAGATCAATTTAAACGATTTGCAATACCAAATATATAGATCAATTTTAAAGATTTGCAATACCAAAGAGATAGATCAATTTAAATGGTTTGCAGTACCAAATAGATAAATCAATTTAAATGATTTGCAATGCCAAATAAATAGATCAATTTTAAAGATTTGCAATACCAAATAGATGATCAATTTAAAAGATTTGCAGTACCAAATAGATAGATCAATTTAAATGATTTGCAATACTAAAAAGATAGATCAGTTTAAATGATTTGCAATACCAAAAAGATAGATCAATTTAAATGATATGCAATACCAAAATGGTAGAATATCTTGATTTCTAGATTAATACAAATAAATTAATTCAGATAATTCTCTGATAGATTGATTGAAATCGTTAATGATAGATAGATTGGTTTTAATGATTTATATTACATATTGATTGATCCAAGTTAATTATTTATGTATCCCAGAAATTGTTCAGGGTCTTGAATATGATCATGATTTGATTTAATGAATAATATTATTCTGAGTGGTTAGGATAGGTTTCTAAAACAATGTTTTGTATATTTGAAACATTATTTTCATACTATATATACCAGTGAAGTTAGAGCAAATATGTTCATACAAGTCATCAATACAAGCTAGGCAACATCAGAAATTATTTTGTTACTTACAGTTTAAATAACAAAGGCGCTTCATCAGGAAAATCTAAAATGCACATATATATATTAGTTACACATTGAAACTTAAAGAATAGCAAGTATATTTTCAAGAAATTGAAATTGATTACCTAATTTTTCAATATTTTTATGTACATTTTTGAATTCATAGGCTGCTGAATGTTCATTGTTTAAAAAAATCTCAATGTATAGTCTAAGCTCGCAATAAAGTTGCTTTGGGCTGCACTAATGTAAAAAAAAACATTCACTGGTTTTGAATGGTTTTGATGACCAATTTACCAATTCACTGGTGTTTCAAATGGTTTTGAAAGAGACATTTGTATATAATATCTGTCAGCTAAAAATACATCATCGTACAGATTAAATATCGTAAAATGACATCAATTCATATCATCATTATGATTGACACAAAATGACACCCTTGAGGTCTTTAATAAACACGTCTGTGAGGACACTAATTTGTATAGTTATACCAATGATCGTCTAATCACCAGCTGAACATTGATTTCTTCATTATAACATTGATACAG